ACAGTGCTTGAGCTCTGCTAAGGGACAGACTGACTCCTCAAGTGGGTCCCTGACCCCCGTGCCTCCTAACTGGAGACACCTCCCAGCAGGGATTGACAGACACCTCATAAAATTTGAGAGCTCTGGCTGACATTTGGTGGGTGCCCCTCTGGGATGAAGCTTCCAGAGGAAGAATCAGGCAGCAATATTTGCCATTCTGCAGCCTCTGTTGGTGATACCCAGGCAAACAGGGTCTGGAGTGGACTTCCAACTAACTCCAGCAGACCTGCAGCAGAGGGCCCTGACTATTAGAAGAAAAACTAACAAACAGAAAGGAATAGCATCAACATCAACAAAAAGGACGGCCACACAAAAACCCCATCCAAAGGCCACCAACATCAAAGATCAAAGGTAGATACATCCATGAAGATTAGGAAAAACCAGTGCAGAAAGGCTGAAAATACCAAAAACCAAAACACCTCTTCTCCTTACAAAGGGTCCCAGCTCCTCACCAGCAAGGGAACAAAACTGGACAGAGAATGAGTTTGATGAATTGACAGAAGGAGGCTTCAGAAGTGGGTAATAACTGACTCCTCTCAGCTGAAGGAGCATGTTCTAAACCAATGCAAGGAAGCTAAGAACCTTGAAAAAAATTTAGGTGAAATGCTCACTAGAATGACCAATTTAGAAAAGAATGTAAGTGACCTGATAGAGCTGAAAAACAGCACGAGAACTTCGTGAAGCATATGTAAGTATCAATAGCTGAATCAATCAAACAGAAGAAAGGATATCACAGATTGAACATCAACTTGATGAAATAAAGCCTGAAGACAAGATTAGAGAAAAAAGGACGAAAAGGAATGAACAGAGCCTCCAAGAACTATGGGACTATATGAGAAGACCAAGCCTACATTTGATTGACATACCTGGAAGTGATGGGGAGAATGGAACCAAGTTGGAAAACACTCTTCAGGATATTATCCAGGAGGACTCCCCCAACCTAGCAAGACAGGCCATTCAAATTCAGGAAATATAGAGAACACCAGAAAGATACTCCTTGAGAAGAGCAACCCTGAGACACATAATCCTCAGATTCACCAAGGTTGAAATGAAGGAAAAATGTTAAGGGTAGCCAGAGAGAAAGGGTGGGTTACCCACAAAGGGAGTCCATCAGACTAACAGCGATCTCTCTGCAGAAACCCTACAAGCCAGAAGAGAGTGGGGCCCAATGGTCAGCATTCTTAAAAAAAAAGAATTTTCAACCCTGAATTTCATGTTCAGTCAAACTAAGCTTCATAACAAAGGAGAAGTGAAATCCTTTGCAGACAAGCAAATGCTGAGAGATTTTGTCACCACCAGGCCAAAAAGTGGGTGAAGGATATGAATAGATACTTCAAAAAAGAAGACATTGAAGTGGCCAACAAACATGTGAAAGAAAGCTCATCATCACTGGTCATAGAAAAATGCAAATCAAAATCACAATGAGATACCATCTCATGCCAGTTAGAATTGGGATTATTAAAATGTCAGGAAACAACAGATGCTGGAGAGGATGTGGAGAAATAGGAATGCTTTTACACCAATGGTGGGAGTGTAAATTAGTTCAACCATTGTGGAACAAAGTGTGGTGATTGCTCAGGGATCTAGAACCAGAAATACCATTTGACCCAGCAATCTCATTACTGGGTATATACCCAAAGGAATATATATCATTCTAGTATAAAGATATATGCACACGTATGTTTATTGTGGCACTGTTCCCAATAGCAAAAACTTGGAACCAACCCAAATGCCCATCAATGATAGACTGGATAAAGAAAATGTGGTACATATGCACCATGGAATACTACACAGCCATAAAAAAGGATGAGTTCATGTCCTTTGCAGGGACATGGGTGAAGCTGGAAACCATCATTCTCAGCAAACTAACAGGAACAGAAAACCAAACACTGCATATTCTCACTCATCAGTGATTATTGAACAATAAGAACACACGAACACAGGGAGGGGAACATCACACACCAGGGCCTGTCAGGGGGCCAGGGGTATAGGGGAGGGATAGCCCCTATATATTTTAAATTATACATAAATAATATAATATTAAATGTAATACAAAATAAATTATATTTTATTAGGAGAAATACCTAATGTAGATGATGGGTTGATGGGTGCAGCAAACCACCATGGCATGTGTATACCTATGTAACAAACCAGCATGTTCTGCACGTGTATCCCCACACTTAAAGCATAATAAAAAAATACAGTGATAAACTGTCACTAAACCTTTGTGCATCTTTCTGAATATTTCCTTTTGGTACATTTTCTGTAGTAATCACAATTTTTTTTTATTGTACTTTAGGTTCTGGGGTACATGTGCAGATCATGCAGGATTATTGCATAGGTACACACATGGCAATGTGGTTTGCTGCCTCCATCCCCCCATCACCTACATCTGGCATTTCTCCTTATGTTATCCCTCTCCGACCTCCCCACCACCCCCCGCTGTCCCTTTGGTTCCCCCCCAACAGAGCCCAGTGTGTGATGCTTCCCTTCCTTTGTCCATGTGTTCTCATTGTTCATCACTCACCTATCAGTGAGAACACACAGTGTTTGATTTTCTGTTCTTGTGTCAGTTTGCTGAGAATGATGGTTTCCAGATTCATCCATGTCCCTAGAAAGGACACAAACTCATCGTTTTTTATGGCTGCATAGTATTCCATGGTGTATATGTGCCACATTTTCCCAGTCCAGTCTATTGTCGATGGGCATTTGGGTTGGTTCCAAGTCTTTGCTATTGTAAACAGTGCTGTAATAAACAAATGTGTGCATGTGTCTTTAAAATAGAAAGATTTATAATCCCTTGGGTATATAACTGGTAATGGGATTGCTAGGTCAAATTGAATTTCTATTTCTAGACCCTTGAGGAAGCGCCACACTGTCTTCCACATGGTTGAACTAGTTTACATTCCCACCAACAGTGTAAAAGTGTTCCTATTTTTCCACATCCTCTCCAGCATCTGTTGTCTCCAGATTTTTTAATGATTGCCAATCTAACTGGCATGAGGTGGCATCTCTCACTGTGGTTTTGATTTGCATTTCTCTAATAATCAGTAATGATGAGCATTTTTTATATGTTTTTTTGGCCTCATATATATCTTCTTTTGAAAAGTGTCCATATCCTTCATATTTTTAAAAAAATTTATAAACATGACAAAAATGCTCTTAAAATATCTTTAAAAATCATTTTTAATATGCCCTGACTACACATTTGCAAATACAGACATACAATAAAAAAGATTCAATAAATTTAAAAATATCCCAGGCCTACCTCAAATCTTTAATGGCAGAATCTCCCACTTTTAACCTTCCTGTGCTGTCACCAGTGAATTGTGACTAGACACGTCTGAGAAAGACACCTCATTTAAAAAAGCATCACCCCGGGTGAGGTTACCCTGGAGAGTGGGGAATTTGTGATTTAGTGAGAATAATGAAGTAAAGTCCAATTTGATAAAACCTCTCACTCCTTACTTGACTTTCTCTGCCTTAGGGGAAGAATGAAGAAAGCCAATTTCCAGACCTGATTTACTGACATTTTCCACAGGCTGGCTTTATGCTCATTTTCTCTCAGCCTGGCTGGCACTAGTGGAGCCCTTCATTTTAAACTTCTTGGTCCTGTCTTTCACTCAGGATGGGGAAAAAAAAAAAAAGGATCTCAACAGCTGTCCTTGCATTGCCTCAGCAAGGTTTTGCAGATTGGAAGAGCAGTAAAGAATTTAGCAAATTGTCAGGTTTTAAATTCCATTCATGTCATTAGGTATATGGAGTATTGAACAGGCTTTGAGAGGAAAACAGATTTTATTTTGGCAATCAGTAAGGCTGCCACAGCCTTGAATGCACTCCAAGGAAGAACCTGTCTCATGTGACTGCTTCCCCAGCGCCCTGATGTGGCCACACTGAGGCAGCAGCATGGGGACCCCGAATGGCGGCAACGGGGAGAGAAGAACAAACAGAAACTGACCAGTATTAACACTGCAAAGGAATCTCAGTGCTGAGCTAGAATAGTGTGCCCTTTGGCTCATCCATTCTCTGCTAGGATCAGGTCTGTAGCTAAGGCTGAGGTGGAGCAAAATCAAGATAATGAAGATGTTGGTAAAATGGAATAAAACCAGGAAGGTGGAGATGCTGATCCAGCCGTTCCCCACATTTATCCTACTTTGGTAGCTTCATTTTTCTCATATGCTCATGGATTTTTAAGATATACCTGCATTATCAAGAGTTTTCTTTCCAGAAAGACTCTGATAGATTCATTATCTCCACACTTTAGCAGAAGTCAGGGATTGATAAACTGGCAGAGGAGCTGAGAATGACTTGCCTCCAAAATGCTACAAGTCATAGGGGGCCCCCTTTCTTCTTGTAAGGAGAGTAAAAGAAGAAATGCTACTTCTGCCATTCTTGGAGAACAGTAATTTGTTGGAGAAAATGAAATGGAGTTTGTGGGTGAACATACATTTCAAGTTATCAATTAAAAAAATAAAACTCTTGTACCACATAAGGGTTTTCTGTGATGTCTGTTTAAAATCAAGAATCGTGGCGATATAATAACAATAATCCAAATTGATCAGCAGATACGATTTTTCTCTTGTTTTGTTCCTTCTTCTGGGTGTCCTTGAACTCTGCTTCTTTGAATAATGTTCACTCATCTGAATTAGCATAAAGACTCATTTTGGAACTTATATTCCACTATGGATATTTGTTCCTACAGCTTTCAATTCAGCTCCCACTTAAGTTATTCAATGTTACTACTATAGTTGATTAATAATACTGAGAGCATGCACTCTCCATTAGCTAAAAAGCAATGTCTTTGAAACATATATTAATTCATAGGTAATAGAACATTAAAGCATTTCTAACCCATTTCACTGAAGTTGCAGTGAACCGCAGCTCAGTAAGCAAGGAGGTTAGAAAATCATAACTGATGGAGAAAACTCATCTATTAAACATCTTCTGTCCTGCTATTCCAGGTTGGTTGCAAGAATGCTGGGAAGGAAAACTCAGGGAAAGGGACCCAGACGTCCAACATGCAGCGTTGGTGTGGGTCAGGCACGGCCAAGTGATGGAGGTGTGTTTTGTGTCCAAATTGGGAAGTTCACTAGGGTATGCCCCTTGAAGACGGTGGGCAGCCCGACTGGAGCATTGGAGCCTAGAGTCGAGAATGTCAATGGGTTGGCCTTTCTAATGAGTTATAGTATCATGTCCCAAGAAAGACGGATGTTCATAAACTCATTTCCTCAAATTCAAGGTTTTAGATAGCTTCTCTCCATGGCTCTGAGGAAACGAAAATAATTAAGTATGAAATAGTGACTCTGTCAGTCCTAGGGTTACTGCCGTAAAGCTTTCTGGCCATGTGGGAGGAATTTGTTTCTCTGGTCTGATGTGCCCTGGTGTCTGCCAGGGGGGCCCGTCTTAGCATTGATATCGCTCCTGGTCTGCTTGGGGATCGAGTCACGGTCTCAAGTTCATCTTTATTGATCATCTCCCAGTGAAGTTCATTATTTCTAAGACTCTGAAGTCATGGTCTGTTGTGATTTTTATCGGAATGAACCTAGAATCATTAAGGAATGAGAGGGTTACTTTCCTCCTGCAGACTGGAGATGGACTTTCAAACGCTCCTTAGCAGTAGACTCTTTGGGTCAAACACAACTTTCTGTAGAATTCCAACACAGAAAATAGGTAAAAGTAGATGTTCTCTGGTACCCTGGTGTCCAACCACAGACTTTACCCCGAGAGCCTTCACAGCGTGAAGCCTACTCAGGGAGAGATACCACTAACCAGACTGGAAAATTCCTCTCCAAATTTGTACGTGAACAGAACCTGCTTGCACTGTGGTAACACATGGAAAGAACCTGGCGACGCTGAGGAATGTCCTAGGAAGCAACTCTGTGAAGCTTATTTCTGTGTTTACTGCAGGGATGTTGTTAAGGATGTGGTTGGTGACATCCCACAGCGTTTCCTTTATGATGACCTGACCTGCCGAAGACACATTTCTCTCCCCTCAGAATGATGCTTGACAACTTTTCTCCTGAGCAGCTGCGTAGCTGACATCTTGTAGGTACTGTAAATGGTGGCCCGTCCCATGTGTACCTATACGGTAGGGTTCTCAAACCTTACTGCACATCGGAGTCATCCAGGGAGGTATTTAAATGCCAGTTTCCAGGCTTACTCCAGACTAATTGCATCAGAATCTCAAGAGGGGGATTGGCATTTTTAAAAAGTTTTCTGGGTGACCCAATGTGCAGCCAGTTTTGAAAAAAACTAAAAAGGCTTATTTAATCAGGGAACCTCTGAAGGCACCTGCTTTCTGTCAAATATATATTTTTAAATGTATATACTAGCTTATGATCATTAAATAAATGGTTAGAAATCGTCATCTTTTAGAGTAAAATTAAATCATTCTTACAGCTTCCTCCTGTGATAATGTGCTACTTTGGACTTTCCAAGAAGCAGACACCGAGTTGGAATTAGATGTGCGAGAAATTTACCAACATAATGCCTGGGAGGGAAAACAGGAAGCTAGGAAGGGCTGTGACAGATGACGGTGCCAGCTGTGGGTCTGACATTTGGGAGGGAGGGAGGGAGTGAAGGAGTAGGGGTGAGTGAAGAGTCCTAGCTTGAGTGCAGTTGTATGTAAGCCTGGCAAGGCTGATGGGAAGCCTTGAGTCAAAGTTACCAGTCAGAGAAGCTTGAAGCTCCCAGGGACAGGCCAGACTTAGGACCCTGCCATCATCTTAGCAATTGATGGGAAGCAACCAAGTAGTGGGGTATGGGGGTGTGAGGAGCTGGCCTTCTGCTAAGGCAATGGCGGATTTCAGAGCACAGCACTCAGGGCCAGCAATCCATGTGCTGTAGTCATAGATCTGAGAAGCGTGTTTCTTTCTGGCAGCCACAGTGCCTCATCTGAATTCCTTTCCTACCCTGATTCTTCCCATTATTTATGTTTAGAAATAGCAAAGGATGAGGGATGAGGATGTGTGACAGGAGGATGAAAGCCAGCAGCAGGGTCAGGAGAGTGGCAAATGGGGTCATGTGAAGGTGGCTGCAGGGCAATAGATGGAGAATTACTCCTGGTTCAACAAGAGATCAAAGAGAAAGAGGCACCGTGGGGGCAGGAACATAAAAGGGAGAGGAGCGAGTAAAACATTTGGAGCAGGAGGGAAAAGAACTGCTGGTTAGACCTTAGCAGAGACAGATTAAACTGGGGGGGTTACCTGCTCAGAAGTAGATGCGTATTTTCACCTCGGAGTGGCTACCTCACCCCATGCAGCAAGGCACATTTCAGCTTTAATACGAAGAAACACATGTGATTTCTTTAGCATAGTGGTTTTCTGTCCTGATCTCATGTTAGAATCATTTGGAGATTTTAAATATGTGAATATCTGAAACTTTAACAGAATAAATGAGAATTTTTGAGGGCAAGTGCAGATATCAGCATTTCTTAAAAGCCTCTGATAGACAATGTGCGGCCCACATTTAACCGCTTCAGCAAATGGGTCCAAAAACTATGAACAGAGCCTGTGAAGAACCCGTGAGCAAAATGCGCATTTATTCACATAAATCTCTGAGAATAATTCGAGGGTACATGCATTGCATACGATGCTTCAAAGTGCTAAGATTTTAAAGCATTTAAATCATCCATGAAAATTGATTTTTCAGCCTGACTCTCCCTGTTTTCATCAAAGACCATGATAAAACCATTATCTACTTTGCCACATCAAAATTATGGATAGAACCGCTTCCCATTCCCTCACACACACTTCTTTTGGAGGCAGGGTGAAAATGGGTTTCTGTTCTAGCCAAAACAGATCTGAAGCAAGGATGTACAGGCCCACTGCACGCAGAGCAGAAGCAAATTCCTGGCTGGGGTTCACTTCCACAAACAGTCATTAAATACTGTGCTTGAGGGACACTGAAGCAGATATGTCACAGGACAGGATGACTATTGGTACTCCCAGGACACTCAGACCCAGCCCTGCTTGAGAATGGGGAGGTCTGGGGATACAGATCCTAAAAAGGTGGGGCCTTCATAATGGAAAGAGGAACACCATTTGGATAGAGATGAACCACCCAGGACGCAGTGGGACAGTGACTGAAGGACTAGTGGTATCGGTGTGATAATTTCGTTTTCAGGATAAATCAGCAGTCATTAATTAAGAACCTCTTAGGTGCTAGACACTGCAGGATGCTGTGGAAATTTGACTCACCTACTTTTTGAGGGTTTTCTGGTGCTGGCATCTCCTTTTCCCTAAAATGTTTCTGTAGTAGGCAGAATGATGGCTCCCACCTCAAATACGTCCTGATGCTCTAATCCTGTGACTGGGTTTCATGACGTGGCAAAAGGAACTTTGCAGATGGGATTAAGTTATAGACTTTGAGACGAGCTTATTCAGGAGGGCTCAATCTAATCACCTGTGTCTTTGAAAAAGGAGAACCCTTTCTGGCTATAGTCGGAGAGGAAGATGTGACCAGGGAGGCAGGTCAGAGAGATGGCATTGTGACCTGCCATGGCCGGCCTCGTAGGAAGGAGTCATGAGCCAAGAAGTGTGAGCAGTCCCTAGAAGCTGAGCAGATCCAAGAAAATCCTTTCATGGAGTTTGCAGAAAGGAACGCAGTCCTGCTGATACCTTGTCTTTAGTCCAGTGAGATCTATCTCAGCCCTGACCTATAAGGTAACAAGGTAACCATAAGGTAACAAGTTTGTGTTGTGATAGGCCACCAGGTTTTCAGTAATTTATTACAGTAGAGACAGGAAACAAGTACAGTCCCTGAAGGATCTCAAATTCATTTGTAGCAAGAACAGACATGCTGCTTCATTTCTTTTGTTTTTTTTATTTTTAAAACTTTCGATTTTTGAGAGAATTTTAGAATTCCTGAAGAGTTGCAAAAGCAGAACAGAGTTTCCCATATACCCTTCATGCAGTTTTCCATAATGTTAACACATTCATACTAGTAAATTGATCAGTATTACAAAATTAATACTAATTTAATACAATTAACTGAACTGTAGACTTTATTATTCAGATTTTACCAGATATTCCAACAAAGGTCTTTTTGTCTGTCCCAGGATCCCACTTTGCATTTAACTGTCTATCTTCTCAGTTTCCTTCACTCTGTGATAGCTCCTGAGACTTCCACTGTCTGTCAGAGCCTTGGCACTTCTGAAGACCACTGCTGTTCAGTAAAATGTTCCTCAGTTTGGGTTTGTCTGGAATTTTCGCATGATTATATTGAAGTCATGTATTACTAGGGAGATAGGACAGAGGACATGTATCTTTCTCAATGCATCACCAGAGGTACCTGATGCTGACTTGCCTTATTACTGATGATGTTAACCTTGATCACGTGGCTACAGGTTTTTCCAATGTGAAGTTTCCATCTTTCCCTTTAAAACCACTATGTTTCTATTTTGGAAGATATGCTTTGAGACTATACAAATATCCTGTTTCTCCTTAAACATTTGCTCACTAATTTTATCATCCGTTAACAAATCTTGCCCACAGCAAATTTCCACTCTGCTGTAATCGTGGGGACTTTCTAGCTCCCTTATTCCTTCCACATTTACTAGTGGGAGTCTGTAAAGAAAACTCATTTCTTCTCTGCCTTTTATTTATTCAGTTATTATTTATATCAGTATAGACTCAAGAGTATTTATGTTATTCTTTGGGTTATGATCCAATACTATCATTATTTCGTTGCTCTAATTGTTTCATATTTGGCCATTGGGAGTTCTTTCAGGTAGGTTCCTGTGCTCTTTCAATATATCCTCATCCCCCTCCCCCGTGCCTTTTTTTTTTCTTTTTGAGTACTGCTCATTTTCTACTTTCCCTGTCCCAGCCTGAATTTAACCATTTTTCTAAGGAACACCCTGTTTCTTTTTACTGGAGAATAACATTTAGAAACCAAGGTCTGAGCACCAGATGTGCTTATTGCTACTGGGGTGTCACTACTTTCATGCCCTCCCAGCAGACAAAACTCGAGACGTATGTATGTATACTAACCTAATCCCCCCTCACACACACATTATATATAAATATGTGTGTGTGCATATATATGTATTTTAAAAATCAGCTCACACTGATTTTTCCAACATCAATCCCATACCACAAGGCTCATATGAACCTTCTTTTTATTTATTTCAAGTTTTTGTCTCCAGTTTTGAGAAGCCTGGCTCTCATTATCTATAATGTGTTTACTTATTAGCTCATCCCTAATATGTTTATAAAATAGTTTCTGAATTGTGACACCACCTCCCTGTGAGGCACAAATTGACCAACTAGACTGTAGTGTTTGCTTGCGGTTCTCTTTGTGTTTAGCCTAACAGACTCCAGTCAAAACACTTTTTAAAAGATACTTAGGTTAGTTGCTATCTTCCCCATTGCTTAGCTTTTTAAAATCTTCATTCTTGCAACTTTTGTGATATTTTAAAATATGAGATAAATTGTAATTCATTCACTTTCAAGTGCTCAACTCGAAAACATCTTTTTGGAGTAGGAATAGTGCTTTTGCATCTACTCCAACTTTGTCTCAGAGAATGGAGTTGGAAATCTGTGGCTCAATCCCTTTGGCCTCATTGTGGGGGGCATTCATTCTGGAATATAAATTTAATAAGTCACTGTGCAGCACTTATCAATCCTGGATAGTGCTGACAGTTCCAACTTTACATAGTCATTTGCCACATGTGTGTTTTATCGTACAGGCTTCTTGAAGGTCCTGAAAGAACTAATTCAGTCTTTCCATCCTTTTAGCAGACTACCTTGGCCACAACAGATGCTCCAGTGGCTTCTTCATCTTTATCTACGGCCAATCTAAGTACAAGACTATAGAGACTGTGTGTGATGAATTTTCTGTTACCAAAAAAAAAAAAAAAGAGACAATCTCTTCTACCTGAACACTCTTTCCTGTGTCTCTTCCTGTTCCCCTCTTGTCTAGCTAACGTTTCTGCTAGGTCTAGATTGAGCTGAAGTATTCTTGGACTTCTCTCTCCCCTCCACTATCATTAGGAGCTCTTGTTACACTCTTTTTCCAAATGTGTGCAGATTTGGAAAAATCTGGATAAACCTAGAGAGAACGTATGACTCTGTGGGGTAATTGTTGTTTTTCTGGCCCATCTCCCTAAGGAGGTAATTGGTTCCTTGAGTGCTTGCCCTGGGTGTTCTTCACCTTAGTATCCTCAGGCACACGGCTGTAACAAGTGAATGCTCAGCAGGTGCCCCTGAACAAGTGAGTAAACATGAGTGATAAGGGGAGTCCCATTGCAGATGCACTAACACGTGTGTCATCTGGTCTTGGGGGGACTCTCAAAGACTAGTGGGCACTTGCAGACAAAACCTCAGTGCACAGCTGTCTAACTTACAGGCATAAGACTCATTGGAACCAAAAAATAATTGAGAAGGGAAATAATATTTATCAAGTGGTACCTGTTATGTGCCAAAAATTAATAGCTACTTTTCATGTATCACCTAATTTTAGCCTTCAACAATCTAGTCAAGTGACTTTCTGTCATCATGTAGAAGAGAAGCATCTAGTGTTGGGGCATAGCTGGCTAATA